TGTCAAAGACCTAAGCTCGGATCGCATGGCTTTTGATTCTAATTGTTCGTATACCGTTACGATCCTATTTCTCTTATTATTATTAAAAAAAATTATATTTATTTTGAAATTTTATTACTACTTTTTAACTAAATTTGTTTCTTAAGATGCAACCTATGATTATAAATATTTTCTCGTACTTGAAAAACACACTTACCTTGATGGGATTCGAACTCGAGACCTCGGGACCTCTGGATCGTGAGCCAACCGTCTTACGTGGTTAGACTACTTCTTAATTTAATGTAAGTGTTTACAAAAAAAAGCGATTACAAAAAAAAAAAAACTGTTTTATTCTAACTTATCTGTAAAATAAAAAGCGAGTTATTATAAAAAAAAACCTTATCCAGCACCATATATAACACACATGTCTAAAACCGCATAACCCGGGAAAAAAATCTCTTATTTATTCATATTAGTTTATATTAGTAGATACATGATTATATATAATCATATAAGAAATGGAAAATATAATCTTAAACAATATTATATGGCCATATAAGAAATGAAAATATAATCTTAAACAATATTATATGGCTAAATCTGTTTAAATATAACTTAATATAGTCATATATGGTTTTATATACTAGTATATTATCATGTATGATCATGTAAAAGTATATTTATAAGGTTAAAGATAATCATATATATACTAGTATATTATCATGTGTGATCATGTAAAAGTATATTTATAAGGTTAATCAAGAGACACGGTAGTGTCTCGCGCCAAGTACACGCGGAGCGAGACCGACCGTGACTCTTTTACGCGACGCGACGGGTTGCGAGTACTCGAGATGTTGAGATCTCGATAACGAGTGAACGGATCAAGTTCTAAGTAGGTTTAATCTATAGCTTGGGGTCCAATTAGGGGGGGGTTTCTCTTATAATATTCCGCTACGTGCCCTACGAGCGGATATATTGCGACGCAAAGTCCAAATGTGAAAATTTATTTTTAAGATACGAATACTACTTCTTCTACGTCGACCGTCTCTCATGCCATGCCATGCCATCATTTCATTGGCTGGAATCGCGTCCTTTTCACTTTTTCGACACCAGGGGCGGTGCTAGTATCGCCAGTTTCGATATGCATATGTATACGTGTGTGTACTGCGCGAGTGCAGATAGTGCGTTTAGCGCGCTGTCAGCTGTCAGCTGTCAGTCAGTTCGTCAGTTAACCTATCTCCAGAGACACGGTAGTACGCAGAGTGCCGAGTGCGTGTGCGACACCTCGATATATTTAGCAGACAAATTTGATATTTCTTATTATTGATTATTTTAATAGTTTGGGAATCATTTGGGCAAGTTTAGGAATATAGTTTCATAGTTTAGGAAATAATAGTTTATTTATAATTAATAAAAATTAATTGAGCGTATAATTAGCAGACATAATTTTAAAACCAATTTTTTTCTTTTTAAATCGATGTGAAATCATTTGGGAAACACGTCTGTAATGTTTTAAACGTTTGGGAAATAATGATTTCATCTGAAAATCAAGTTACATGTGCGATAGCTGGACAGTTTCACCATGGTTTGTGAGTCATTCAATCATAGCTGAGAACGTGGAAAGTGCTGCTAAAGCATAAAAGAAACGTTTACTTTCCCAAAATGTATTCATTATTAAAGCGCTAATTGTTGCATTTTTCTCGCGGATTTTAATATATTTATAGATTGGAACCCGGAGTAATTCTCAATCCTGCGATAATTTTCATAATAGGGAAGCGGCGGCCAATCCATATGGAATGCTGTCCTTTGTTAAAATAATGTTGACTAAATAAAGGAACATACAAGGAGTATAAGATGAAAATTCCATTTTATTTTCTAACAATGGCACATTTCTAAATGTGTTTTAAAGCGCTTTGCGATTACAATTGCCACTGGAAATAAAGTAAACTCTGTTCTATGAAATATATGGATTTAAAAAAAAGCGAACCATCTTATTTGTAATAAATGCATTATAAATGCATAAGTACCGGATTAATGGATTCTATGGCAACAAGTTCCTTTGCATGTTAATCGAATTGTCGAAATAATTGTAAAATATATATTTATTTTGATTAAGCTTGATCGTATGTATATACATATACATATACCATACATACATACATATATATATATATATATATATATATATATATATATGCATATACATATTTTGTTATACTGCTTTTTGTACTTAAACGTTTATGTAAAAAATCTTTAAAAAATATTTTTATCTAGTAGTAAGTAGGTCACAAATTATATACACATCACAATTTAACATAAATAAAACTAAGAATAATATCTTAATTAAAGATGTGAATAATAAAATGAAAGAACTGAGCAAATTGTTATTTTATAATAAAATAAACATTTACGGACTATAATATAGACATAATTGCACTCTTCTAAGATAATCAGTTAGATTCAACTGCACATCAGATTCATAGCGCGATATAAATGGCCCCAATCGGTGTAATTACTGTCTCGTCACACCCTTCGACATTTAATTGCATATCATCACATTTCAGCCATCGTCCTGAAGGTTTTTGACAGTAGCCAATAAAGTGACCAGAAATGTGTTCGATGACACCTATCAAGCTGAAAACAATACAGTTTTTTATGTTTAATAAGTAAATAAAACGATACATAATAAGCGATATCTATATGTATATTACTAAACATACCGGTACTGTTTTATAAAATTCAGTGTAATTGGAACATCTGCTAACTGGTATTTGAGACCATGTGTTTTCTTACGATGTGTCCTCGTATCCAAATCAATAAAGATGTGGAAATTTGAACGAGTCGTTTCAGTAACTGTTCCTGGGCATTTTTTTTGTCGGCACTTACCCTGGTAATCATTTTTATTGAATAAGACAGCATCTTGCAATGCTTGAATACCTTTGGTATTTATCATTTTGATATTTACTCCAAAGTATGCAACATCCATTGGTAATGGCGATACACATTCCGGATTATTACATTCAGACGATCTAATTGCACTTGGCTCAGTCGGTTCGGAACAACAAAAGAGATTCTTCCATATCTGAGTAATCGAGTCTTCTGCAATCAACTTGTGCGGTTTGATAGATGGAGCTTCAGGATCTTTTACAATCGGATAAAATTCATTTAAAAGGACAATGCGTTCACGAAGTATTTCCATAGTTGGGCCCATCTTCATAAATTTGCATACAAATTTTAATGCGCGATTATTCGATGACTGTATAAAAAAATGATATCGAGAATCATAAAGTGCACCAAATTGCAATATATGGATGATGGCATCAAACCCACAAGTTTTTTGAAGATCCACAGCAATATTACCAACTTTTATGATTCCTAATTTTAGCCCATTCTTCAAAAGAAAACCTCTTTTTCCTCCATTATCAAATCTCTCGTTGAGAAATCGTATTTGTGGATATGATTGAAAATAGAAACCTACTTTCTCAGGTTTGTTCTTATTACATTTTGGATTCAAATTTTGTTGGTCACCTTTAGGAAATTCAGTCGATACTTCTTCATCTGATAATAATTTCGAATAATTATGGTCGATTAATGGCGTACTTGAGAAAATAACTTCTTTTGAATTTGGCGTTGACAATTCAGCGTGTGGATCCTTTTTTGTAAAAAGTTTGTCTTGCTCATAATTTTTAGAAAAGCCATGAGTATTATTATTTGGCTGAATAAAAAGATTTCGATCAATGTTTGCGATGTCGCTGCTTTGAAGGTCGAGTACTTCAGAGAGAATTTGAGAAGTATCTTGAATATTTTTTGATTCTTCTTGGTTTTCAGGACTTATTTCATTAACGTCTACAAAACAGCTCTCCTCATTGACAAGTCCTTTCCACGCTTCACCACTCTTCAAATCAGAGTCATTCATCATGCGAGCCCTCTCGCGCAATAGACTTATTGAATTAAAATTCATATTTATATATGGCTGCTGCAATGAGGATTTTGATCCTTCGTCTGCTGAACGTGGATCTGATGCCGGTTTTCGTACTGAAGGCGCTGACTTAATACCTGCTGAACATGGTGGAGATAATACAGGTATTTGGGAATAGAATTCTGAATGTTGATCTGCTGAACATGGTGATTTTTTCAAAGTGAGTTTTAATTCTCCGTTAGCTGCACATGCAGTTGGAGTGGGATCTTGCAAGAAGATTCCTAATCCATTGTCGAGTAAACATGAATCTGATATGGGTTCTTGCGACAAGAATCCTAATTCTTCGTCAAATGAACATGAAACTGGAGCAGCTTTTCGCGGGAATTCCGATTCTTTAACAGATGAACTAGGAGCTCGAATAGGTTTTTGCGAGGCTGATTCTTTCTCTGGTGTATGTGGAGATGGTACCGGCTGCCTGTGATTGTGATTAAAATGCTTTAATTTTGCTGCTACCTCATTAGTGCCAGAATGCAAGTCATCAATGTGCTCTTTCAAAAATCGATTTGCAGAACACGGCAAAGGGATACCTTCAAAGATTCTTTGCCTTACTTCAGCAAAATATCCTTCCTGCGAAGCTGTCGACGCATGCGTTTGTTTGCCAGGGAGGGCTGCTGCAGTCCATATAGGAAACTCTTTGGCAATTCGTTCAAGTGACTGTATGAATTCCGAAAAATAAAAACCGTTTACAGCCTTGCACTCCATCTTTTGCTGATCAGGAGGTGTGGACATTGAAATAAGACTTCTAATCCATTGATGAGTGACGGTTAAATTCTTATCATCTTTTTCTTCAACTGAATTCAAAGTATTTTCAACTTCCTCATCAATTTCGACGTTCTCTCTCGACGTCTCCAGCTCCTCGATAATCTGTCCATGTTCAGCCATGTACTCTTCCAGAAGGCGTCTAGCTTCAAAAACCGACACTTGTTTTCCTGACACCATTATACTTTCATCTTGGTCGAGATGCAGTGCAACGATGCATGTCAGTCGAAATACATGTTCGAACTCTTGCACTGTTTGACAGTCAATCATTAAAGCAATTGTACGAAGATAAAAACCTTTGACAATAGGATGGCGTAGATCTTTAATACATTTCCACCTGGCGACAGCAGCCATTTGATGAGCCACATCCGCTCTTATTAGAGTGTTAAATGGCCGAGGTGTTTTATATCTGTCTTTCGTTGCCCATTTGAAAAGAACGTCAACATATTCTTTTAGTGTCATGCGGTTAAATGCTTCACACATAGCCAGTAACAAAGCACGCCCTAAATCAGACATAGCTTCGTCTGGTATTGTCGCCTTACATGCTCGTATCCATTCCTGAAGCCAAAATGTGATGAAAACTGCGTCATGTTTTTCCGACAACATTTGGTACACAGGAAGAGTTTTACCCTCAAAATTGATGGTAATCGTGTATAAAAATATGTGGCCAGTTTTTCGCCCTGGGATAATTTCAAATTTTTTTACCACCTTACCCGTGGCATCTAGACAAATTCGAGAAAATCCTTTTCTTACTCGGCAGTATTCTTTTTCTACGAAAATTTGTTCTGGGCTGCAGTAAAAAACGTAAAACTTCTTTGCTCCAATCTCGCGGATAGCATTGCTGTATCGGATGTCTTGTAACATATTGCGAATGCTAGTTATCATGTCCATTTTCACGCCTGATTTTATGCCAAGATCTTCCTTGTTGTGTTCCATCTTTGCTTGTCTGTAAATATGACATTTTTGTACCCATGGAGGTTCGTTCTCTCCAAATTTCATATTCTCCGCAAGTAATTTCTGCCGATATCCTGCGGCTCTTCTTCGTTTTCATTTTCGTCCAATTAATTTCCTTTCAGGACCATTTAATGGTCTCTTAACTTCTTCATGATAATCATTACGAGTATCACGCGTTGTGATGATCAAATGTAGTTCTCCGTTGACCGGTTTTTTGTAGGCAACGCCAACAATTTTATTATTACATTTTTTGCTTTTACATAATCCTTTGAACTTCAAATAGAAAGATCCAACGGCATAATTTTCATTTTCATCCTGTTCTATGCGTACGTATGACCATTTGCCCAGAAAAGCACATGGGAATTTGTACATATTCCAAAATGCTTTTGTGATTACATTTGGCCAAACCCATGATTTCAATCTTTTCTGTTGGTGATTAGAAGTCTGATCGGGCTTTATCTGTTCCCACTCAGTGGGTGAAAGAACTAGAGGGAACGAATCAACACCAATGTCAGAATCTCCATTCTCGTCATCATGATAAGATGATTTGTCCGATTCAGAATCCTCTGATAGTTCATCAATGATATCATCTTCGATGGTCGACTTCGATGGTAGTGGTCTTGGAGGTTGGATATTTATACCCAAATTCTGACGAGCTGCTTCGAGACTTCCATTTTTATTATCTCTTACGTATGTATAAACTGAATGCGGTTTCCATCTTCCATTGAGCTCTTTGCTCATGTCTTTCCAAACTTTTGCAGAACTCGAAGGAAAATTGTTGGTATTAAAATATTGCATATATTTCTGAATTAACAGAATTGCTTCTCGGTTAGGAACACTACAAGGCCGTCCCATCTAAAAAAAATGAAGAAAAAATATTACATACTCTCAATATTCATTACAGCAATCAGAAAAATAACTTATTGAATGCCCCGATAGGAAAACATTTATAAATTATATGACGAAATCTTAATGAAATTTGGAATGCTACAATTATGTCTCTATATTTAGCAACAATACATGGAGAAATTTAGACCTTTCATCAAATATTGATAAATATTTGCACAATTTATTTCTAAATAGTATTTCAGCAAACTAGCAGCATTATGGCAAATCTTAGTGGAATGATGGCAAAATTAAATTTGGAAAGAAATTACCTCTAATAATTTATAAATGTATTTAAGTTTTATTATTTTTAGAATATTTTGTGAAATAAAATAAATCAATATGTATGCTTTAAAATGTACAATTATTCTGAAATTATAATTTTGAAATGTTATGACATGAAATATTACACAATTATAATAAATATAACACAATAATTGTGCGTAAATTATACTCTAAATTGAATATATCAATTTTTGGGCAAATATCATTTAAAAATTTTATCCCGACAAAACCGCTACGTTATGGCGAAGCACATTATTGATGCAATTATTGTGAAATTTTTTCCTTTCGTGATGCAGTTAGTGTATAATATTTAAGCAAATATCTTTTAGAAATTTTATCCATTTTCCTATTGGGATGGATCCAGATTATTATCGTTTAATGTGGCAGATGTGTTATGATCATGGAAAATTGTCAAAGATTACTACACTATTTCACTATTTTTTTAAACGAAAACTTACTCTCACGGTGATACATTCAATACAATATACTTTCTTTTTTATTTGAACATCCAGAACACTTTCACTCAATAATGAGTTCTATAATAATACTAAACACAGGAGAAGAAAACGAACAGAAGAAATTACATAGTCTCAATAGTCTTTTGTTTTTATTGTTTGTCTGATCTGGGTTGTGTCGATAAATCCGTTAAAATTCCGGTCGGTATATAATTCTCCGAAAATTGTTATTTATTGAAAAAAATAAAAACAAAGTTTGGAAACGAAATTTGGGAATGCACGTAACTTTTGTACTTTTTACTAGACTTTAAATAACCTAACGTCATCAATTCCTTCTTTTACAACAAAATTCGAATTTTATGCATGTTTTACTATAATTCAAAATTAGAATAATGGTAGATTTTATTTTATATTTGATGATATTTGATTTTGTTTCTTGGATATACATCGCGTGACTAATGCCAAAAGAGCGGATGAGCCAAAATTGAATTTGTTATGATTAAGACATCTGCACGTTATTTAACTGTATAACAAAAACTGATAATCACAGCTCAAAAAAATAAAGTGGCATTAAAAAGCTGAAGAAATTTTCCATCAAAATAAGTATTCGATCGCTAAATCGAAAAATAATTAAATGTGCGTAAGTTTATAGGCTGTTTTGACATTAGTCACTATATATTTTCATTATTGTATGGATTTAAATATAATTAGGACTAAAATTTTTTATATACAAATAACTTACCAGCCTACCATGTTTAATGATAACTGACACTGATTATCCTCGACGTCTGTATGCCATATGAAAAAAAGCCAATATTTTCCAGTCGAATTTTTCTAGGTAATTCCACAATGCTTTTTTAGAACTCTTCGTTTCACAGTGTGACACCTATCTTAACAAGACAAAATTAATTTCTCTATTATTAAATTATTTATTATTAAATTATTAAATTATTAAATTAATTATTATCTAATTTTACTTTGCGCATTGTTTATGTAACCATAGCGAACAAATCTAGCTCTCTGTGACGGCAAAAGAGGAAATGTTGGCCGTGCCGCGAGTGCCACTATAGCCCCGACCGTTTGAAGCGCACCATTCTCCCCGAAAGATTCCTGCAAGCTAAGTGCGATTCTCTGCAGAGATCCATCATCCTAATAAAACAGTATGCATATCAATTGTTGAACTTGTTAATAAAACTATATATTTCCGTACCTCTGGCGGAAAAGTGTTTATTTATGAGATGTCTAAGAGAACTACTAAAGCACGAGCGTGTTGATTAGCGACTGGTGACTTCAATTGTTGCAAGATTCTGCGAGAAAGCAAAAAATAAGCTATCAAAACTCGCGCAAATCTTGTAATTTAATTAAATGTGAAAACACGTTAGCTACCTATCGAGAACTTCTTCGGAATATAAGACAACCAACGACCTGGAGCACTGCAGCACTTCGTAATGTGTAAGAACATTCCGAGCTGCTTCAAAGGGACAAATACTAACAAATTCGGACAGAGTTTGATGGATATTCTCCATAAATGGGCGGATTGCCTCTGTGTCATTTCCAGTCTCGACAGAACTTAAAATCATAGCTAGTAAGCCGATATCTAATTTCGCCCTAAAAAAATTGAGATTTGTTGTTGATTAGACTTCGGAGTTAAATAGTATAATACTTATTAAGTGTCATAAAAGTTTTATTACCTTAGATATTTTTCATTTTTATTCCAGGAGGATTTGCCATTGCCCCGTTAGCCACCTAAGATGTTGCCCGCTGAGCACGTGGCTCACGTTATTTTGCACGGACGTGGGGTTGGACTTTGCTGATATGCTGCTTTCAGCATTACATGTAGCATAATAACCTAAACAGAAAATGATACAAAAATTATACATTTCAAATTACAAATATGTTATGCGTAATGATACATTTCGCATTACATATTTCTTTTGTGGAGTTCTAAAATAATATAATTAACTTTACCTATACATACCAAGAAAATGCAACAATTAGCGCTAATAATGAATCCATTTTAGGAAAGTGAACGTTTCTTTTATGCTTTAGCAGCACTTTCCACATTCTCAGCTGTGATTGGATGACTCACAAACCATGGTAAAACTGTCCAGCTATCGCACATGTCACATGTAACTTGATTTTCAGATAAAATCATTATTTCCCAAATGTTTAAAACATTACAGACGTGTTTCCCAAATGATTTCACGTTGATTTGAAAAGAAAAAAATTGTTTTTAAAATTATGTCTGCTAACTATACATTCAATTAATTTTTATTAATTATAAATAAAGTATTATTTCCTAAACTATGAAACTATATTCCTAAACTTGCCCAAACGATTCCCAAACTATTAAAATAATCAATAATAAGAAATATCAAATTTGTCTGCTAAGTATATCGAGGTGTGTGGACCACGTGCGACATGCGGGACGACTGTAGCTAACCTGTATTCCTTCGATTTTTTTTCCGGGTTGCAGGAGGAAGTGATCCGCGCAGTTCCTTGGGCCTAACGTACCTACGGCTTCCCGAGTTCAAAACACCGCGGACATAAACACACAATTACACTAACGCTCATACACATACACATAGCCGCAGGGGGAAGCATTAACACGCAGTTACATTTACACACATACATATATACACTATTAGTTTGGGAATAGAGGAAAGATAATAGGAAGGATTATATAGATAAGAGGACAGATACAACATAGGTCAAGCATCGTTGTGTTATATGGCTCCAGGGTGGGGCCATATCTCAACCGAGAGAACAAATAAAATTAAAAAAAAAAAAAAAAAAAAAAAAAAAAAAAAAAAAAAAGGAGGACACAGTAGTACGCGCGGAGCGAGACCGACCGTGACTCTTTACGCGACGCGACGATTAATTCAAGGTAATTGTTTTATTATGTAATTATCTCCTATAATTATTTTATTTTATATATTACTGTTACTTATTTTACATACAGGTTAACCTATATATATTGACGGCAGGGAACTGATACTGAGATCAAGGAGCCTGTTCACACGAGGCGTTTCTGCCGCGCGATTGCGGCCGCGCGTTAACGTTTGCACGAGCCGTACGCTGTAACGAGGTAAAGTGCGACAACGCGCGCATACGTGTGTACGCGAAACGGCAGTAACACCGTAATCGTGCCGGCGATATACTGAATTTGAATTGCTTCGTGCTTATGTGGAAATTTCGTATCCCTACATCGTGTTACCACCGCTGCCGGAAAAGAAGGTTCTTTACGCTTGGCAGAAAGTGACGACTGACACGTTCGATGCCGACTTCGTTGATCGCAGAAGAGCTGGACTTGAGGTACGTTTCCGATTTGCAATTATAACAGTATCGTGCGATGAATGTTGTTAGTTTTATGTTCTAAACTCAGAGTTACAAACTTATTCTATGTCTTACATGATACGCGCGCGCTATATAGATTAACCTATTGGTGGAAATATAAATCACTAGCATGAGACTTTTACTTCTATATATTTTTATGTTTCCGGACGTTGCTTCCGCCTACTTCTTGCAAGACGTATTTCCGTTGAACGTGCAAAACAGCGACCTATTGTATTATCTTTCATCGTAATAAATCAGTTGGAAAAGATATTCTCGATTATTCTGCGCCATCAGGTTATGGGCCCAGAGGACGTATTGCGATAAATCTACAAAGGTTTGAGATCGAGTAGCGAGTAAAAGAAAGTGTTTCGAGGCTCGCAAAAGAGGAAAGTTTTGCACGGTAACCCAACCTCACAAAAATCCGCGCGAAAAATGTCGAGCTCATCGACGTTAAGCTTGCCAGCGGTTGAGAAGCTGAAAGGCCGGGAAAATTACCCTACGTGGAAGATAGCTATGGAGGCCTATCTGCAATATGAAGATCTGTGGGACTGCGTCATCGGACCGGAAGATCAACTGCCCGACAACAAGAAGATTATCAAGGCAAGATCACGAATATTATTATCGATCGATCCGATTAATTATGTTCACATTCAAAATACGACGACGGCAAAGGATGCTTGGGAAAGATTGCGAGTGGCGTTTGAGGATTCAGGCCTCACACGAAAAGTTAACCTCTTAAAAACTCTTGTTTCTACACAGCTGAAAAATTGCAAATCCGTCGAGGAATACGTGAACATAATAGTATCCACAGCGCATCAACTCAATGGACTCAACATGCCGATGCCAGACGATTGGATCGGAGTGCTGCTATTGGCAAGTTTACCAGACGAATACAAACCCATGATAATGGGCTTAGAGAGTTCTGGGCAGGCAATCACCGCGGACTATGTCAAGACAAAATTGCTACAAGAAGTGAACGGGGAAGACACCGGGAACGCAAGTAAGGACAGCGCATTCTTCTCTAAAGGAAAGAAAAATAAGAAGATTCAAAAATGCTATAAATGCCATCAAAAAGGGCATTATGCTAATAAGTGTCCGGAAAATAAAACGGAGACTACCGGTTCTACGAAGAAGCAAGCATCGGAGGAATCCAAGAGCAAAGAGAAAACATTCGCAGCCTATCTCACATCTCAAGGAATTTCAAAAAGCGCGTGGTACGTAGATTCGTGTGCTTCGACGCACATTACATCTGAACGCAACAATCTCGAAACAATCTCCACGTACAATGGGGGGAGCATCTCAGCGGCTAACCGAAGTAGCATGCAAGCTAAAGCAATCGGCAACGCCAAAATACAATTGCTAACGGATGCAGGAGTTGAGAGGATCATAGCGAAGGATGTAATCCATGTACCGGACAGCGCAGTTAACCTGCTATCGGTGAATAAAATGGTAGCAAAAGGGTTATCTATTCATTTTACACCGCAGGGCAGCTGTATTGAGGATGAGAAGGGAAAACAGATGGCGACCATGGTTGATGAAGGAGGTATATAAACTCAAAACGCCTACGGAGAGAGTTTACTTCACTGCAAGGAAACACACAGCTGAATTGTGGCACCGAAGGCTCGGACACATCAACGACCGGAGCGCCAAGGTACTTAGCGAAGGAATGGCTCGAGGAATACCGATCAAACATTTTGAAGAAACGCAGTGCATAGCTTGCATCTAAGGCAAGCACCATCGTACTCCATTTCCGAAGGAAGGAAGAAGGGCAACTGAGAAGCTGGAGCTAATACACTCCGACTTATGCGGACCCATGGAGACACCATCCTTAGCCGGGTCGAGGTACATTCTAACTTTAATCGACGATTTTACTCGAAAGGTCTTTGTGTTTTTCTTAAAGCAGAAAAGCGAGGTGCCAGAAATCTTTGCAGAATTCAGGGCGAAAGTCGAAAGACAAACATCGAGAAAAATCCGCATCCTGAGGACCGACAACGGAAGAGAATACGTGAACAAGTCAATGGAACAAAGTCTTAAACGTTTAGGCATCAGACATCAATTAACGACTCCTCATACACTTGAACAAAATGGAGTCGCAGAGCGATTAAACCGCACAACTGTTGAAAAGGCGAAATCCATGTTGTTTGGAGCGGAGCTACCCAAGACTTACTGGGCGGAAGCTGTCTCAACGGCTGTATACCTAATTAATAGGTCACCCACAAAAGCAGTCAGCGAAAAGACACCCGAGGAAGCGTGGACTGGATGCAAACCGGACTTAAGTCACCTGCGATCATTTGGTTGTAAGGCATACGTGCACGTGCCAAAAGCGAATCGGAAGAAGTGGGACGCCAAAGCCGAAGAGAAGATTTTTGTTGGTTACTGCCAAGAATCGAAGGGTTATAGGCTGCTTGATCCGAAAACTCATGAAGTAGTACGTAGCAGAGACGTCATCTTTCTTGAAGAATCAAAACTGCGAGAGGAAGAAGAAACGGTGGAAAACCCTCTACAGGTATTCGAAGAGAATGAACAATTCGAAGAGGAAGCCGAAGAAAAAGCTGAAGATGACGTGATCAGTATACAAGATTCACGAGCGGGCAAGGCCGAGGACACTACCATGGAAGAAGAGAGTGACTCAGAATACGAGTCAGATTTTGCTGAAGAAAGCATGGAGAGTTTGGATTCTAAGGCCAGCACAGCAACTCCAAAGAGATCGGCAAGA